GCAGTTTAAATCCAACATTTTGACTTTATTTAAAAATAACACATTTTTATTATTAACTTTTGAAGGCGTACACAAACAACTGGTAGCAAATATACATATATACAACTTCCTTTAAAAAGACAAAGAAAGTAAACGTTTAAACGACAGCAGATTACTTTGGCACTTTGTGATCCGCGTCAGAGGGCTAAATAAAATCCGACTCCGATAACGAGCCACAGAGATGGACAGAGTTTGACAGAAATGAAAACCTGACATTTTTAAAAAGGCGGACAAGAAAAAGAAAAGAAAAGGGGGGCTTATGTTGAATTTTTGGGGAAAATCTCATAAATTTAGCATCAGGTGTTGGAAAGTCCTGCTTGAACTAACCGAACTCACTTTCATGACAAAGACAGAGGAGTTTGGGCTACATTCATGTTTTCTTTCACACACAGACATTATTAATCTGATCTTTGGCTCCTGAAATCACAATCATATGGTGAACAGAAATGATCCGCCTGCGTAATTTGAATCACTTCAAAAAGAAGAAGCGATGAGTGTGAAACGCTTCCTCAGTCCGATCACTCGCAGTAACCTGTTCAGCGATGTAAACGCACAGGTAAAAGTTTAGCAGCATTAAATTTCCCACAGTTCCTCACAGACGGCGTCCTCTCCTCGTGGGACTGAAGTTTGTCTCTTGGTTTTCTGCTCTTGTCGCGTTCACCCACTCCTCCCGCTTCACTCCCACTTGTAGAGCTTCAGCATTTTCTCCGTAAGCGATGCCAAAAAGTGCTCGCCGTTCACAGAAAACGGGCTGATGTCCAGCACCGGGAGGTCGGCCGGAAGCTTCTGGCGCAGACCGCCGCTGCTGGCGTCCCACACCTGAGGAGGAAAAGGAGAACGAGATGACAAATCAGACAGAAGGAAACATTTAAGCTTCAAGCTTAATATTCAAGAAAAAATAAGAATATTAATACAATTTTAAAATCTAAAGACATCAGAACACCTTTGGGAAAGTCAAAACTGGAAACTGACTCATCAGAAATGATCATATATAATTTTTAAAAAG